TGATTAGATAAAAATTTTAAAAATTTTAAAAATCTTAAAATTGATTTAAAATCTATTTGCTCCAAAATATTAAATTAATTTTGAACGTTGCTAAGTATAAATCTAACATGCATTTTGTGCCTAAGGCTGGACTATTGAAAAGGACGCTCTTAACAAAGTGCGATGACACTGAGTGGGCAAGACATCTAAGGTGCTAGAGGACCTTAGCTTTGTTCGAGCAAGGGTATTATTGACTCCAAATGCATGATGATGTTAAACACTGTATGCACACTTACCTCACATCTCGACAAGATAAGCCAAAAGCACAACAAAATAGGAGGATTGCTTGAGCCTTTTCTAGTTCCATCAAAGTCGTGAGAGAGTGTTTCTTAGACTTCATCACCAACATGCCCAAGGTGGGGAAGATCAGGACAATTCTTTGTATTGTTGATATATTCTCCTAGTACGCTACTTTGCGCTTGCACCCAAGTACGTTTCAATGGAGAAGACATCTTAATTTTTCTTCAATTATGTTATCAAGTATTAGGGCATGCCAAAGAGCATTGTGATTGACCGAGACACACTTCATCGGGGCCTTTCAGACTAAACTTTTCAATCTTCTTGGTTCATAACTTGATATGTCTTCAAGTCATCACCCGCAAACGAATAGCCAAACTGAGCAGTTCAATTGTTTATTAGAAGAGTACTTGCGCCATTTTGTCAATAGAAACCAATGCAAATGGGTGCAACTCATTAACGTCGCCCAATTGTGCCTCAACACCCAAAAGAGCAGCTCAATAAGCAAGAGTGCTTTTGAGATAGTCAATGGCCAACAACCATTGTTGCCCCACACAATGGAGGAACTCTACACTAGGAAGTCACCATGAATCTTTCAATTTGCTAAAGGTTGGTAGAAACATGTCAACCTTGTCCGCTTCTACTTCAATAAAGTAGCTAGCTAGATGATTAAGTGGGAAAACAAGAAGATAAGGCCATTAGAGTTCAAAGCGGAAGACCAAGTGCTTGTCAAATTCGTACCACAACTACTCAAGCTTATGCGAGGATGAGATAAGAGACTTATTCATAAGTATGAGGCGCTGGTCACAATTGTAAAGAAGATTGACAAGAGAGCCTACAAGATTGGCCCTCCAGCATGGATGAAGATTCACCCAGTCCTTCAAGTTAGCTTCCTCATAAAAGACCTTTCCTACAATAAGCCAACACGAGACACCATCACGACCAAAGCCAAAAAGAGGAGTATCGAAGCCATTCTTGCAGATCAAATGGCAACCACTTCCAAGAAGATCTTCAGAGAGTTTCTTGTCAAGTGGAAGGGACTTGGTGATGAATATACCAATTACGAGAATGCATCGAACTTGACGAGTTTTGTGAAGGAAATCAGAGCCTATCTAGCCCAGAAGTCACTGAGGATAGCAAACTGTTCAAGTGAGGAAGGATGTCATGGGCCACCCCAAAGCGCCCCATGATGTCCCACACAAGAGCCTCAATGCACTTGTCAAGTGCCCATGTAGCGCCCACGAGAGTAGCACTATGCAACTAGCTTGCATACAACCTAAGATCCTTGAAATTTGTCAATAGATTTCTAGCTAACTCCTCTTCCTATTAATCTTGATTAGTTCCAGCTTAGTTTTGTCAGTGCTCATAATTTGTGGAAAAATATGGGTCTCAAGGAAGTTCAAGCTAATGGGGAGGGCTTTATGTTCTTCTTCTTTGAAAATTCTGACTCTTGTAGCAAAGTGTTAGAAGGAGGGCCGTGGTATATAGGCAATCAACTACTTATACTCAAGAAATGGAAGAGAATGATGAGATTAACTAAGGAACAGGTATCTCAGATTCCTGTATGGGTTAAACTGTTCAATGTCCCAATGAAATATTGGGATGATGAGGGGTTAAGTAGAATTGCTAGTAAGATAGGTGTTCCACTGTTTATGGGTCATCTAAGCTCCTCTGGTAATAGGATTTCTTTTGCTAGGGTATGTGTAGAAATTAATGTAAACTCTGAATTGCCACAGCATTTCTTTGTTAGATGTGAGGAGGAAGTAATTGAAATCAAAGTAGAATATCAGGGGATCCCAACTAAGTTTGTAGCGATCTCGATTTTGACCTGGTCAGCTCGTCGAAAAAAAAATACAAAATGCATTCGAAATTGCTTGAGCTGCACATGCGGAAAACAGGGGAGGGCTTGTTTGGCTACTGCAATAAATGCAGGTGCGAGAGTGCAAGTGCGGGAGAAGCATCGCACGTGCGGTGGTAGGTGAGTCCCAAATTTTGGTCTTTTCTTCTCTTTAGGCTGAGTGTATCTCACTCTTGTTAGGTCTCTCTCTCTCTCTAAAAATCCTTTCCTCTCCGTTCTCTCTACATTTCCCTATGCCAAATTGGATCAAAACCTTGATTTCTCAAGATCCATTAGAGTTCTGCCATAGTTTCTTCATCAAAGTTAGTTAATTTCTCGAGGGCTTCGTTGTGTGCGATGAAGTTCGAGTTTCGACACCGTTGATTTTGGGGGTTTCATCTCATTTCTTCTTCAAAACTTGAGGTAGGGATTTTCTTAGAGTTATATATATATTTTTGCAAGATCTCTATGATTTTTAAAATCATCTTTCGATAGCTTTGAAAATTTAAAGTTGATTCAATAAGTTGAGCGATTTTAAAAGTTGGTTTTTCTCTTGTTCTTTTAAAATGATCTTATGGGTTTTGATCTTCATTGATTGAAGAAAAGATGATTTTGGAAAGTTTTCTTTTAAAAGATTTGAGTTGTATAGTTTTGGTGAGAAAACCTAGAATTTAGGGATTTTTTTTTAAAGAGACTGAAAATTCATGAATGATATTGTTATATTTATTTTGTGTGTCAAAATAAATGGATATTTGAAAATTTTCTTATTTATATTTATATAAATGATGAATTTTAAGGAATATGAGAATTGTTGTTCATTTTGGAAATTATTGTTCAAAACGTTGAAATAGTCTTGAAATGACTAATTGTTGAGGATACTTAAGAAAAGAGAATTATGTTATTCCTTGGGTGATGAATTAGAATAAAAATATTTATATTCATCTTGTGTTATTGGCATATCAATTCATTTGATTACATTAAACTTTGAAAGTTGATTTGAAAACTTACATTGAGAAAAGAATATTAAGAAACAAGTTTTCATGGAATGGTTTTGGGGTAAATACGTTGGTAAGCCTTGATAGGTGGTATAGATGATATTGAATAAGTTGGCCTGAGAGTTCGGGGTGAAAGACCGAATACCCGCGCTGATAGGTGTCGAGCCTTCCGGTTAATACCGGTAAAAATGACAAGTTGAAAGTACTTGTATAGTCTACTTACAGACACCGACCTAAGGATTACCAATGTCGTATTTACCGCTCTTGAAATGAATTGTTAAGTTTTGAAGAATTGAAATTGCATGACATCATTGAGCATGATGGCTTTCAAAGATGAAGATGTGTTTTTCTTTCAAAAGGGCATAGCAGGGCATATGCATTTCATCTCTTGAGACTTGTATAAAATGTATATACTTTGTTAAGGATTTCATACTGGGCTTTATGCTCACCCTACGGGATTTTTGTGTAGGAAAAGATGTGGTGATGCCGCCTAACTAAAGGCGAGGAAATGTGTGTTGAGAGCATGAGACTCTCATTTTGCTGTGACTGTGTGTAAGCCAAGAGCTGTATGTGTGTGGGTTTGAATAACCACTTTGTGTAACCAGGCTCAAGCCTTGGAAACTTGTAAACCCTTGGGAGTATTTATTTGTTTATTTACTTGTTGTTGGATCAATGTATTGTTGCATGAAGAACTATTGTATCATGTAATGTAAGTTTGGAGATTTATATTCGGTTTTCCATGAAAGAGCCATGATTGTTGTATTATCATTTGGGCTAGAAATTTGGGGCGTTACAGTGCGAACACTGTAAAGTCTTTGGTCATAATAGCAAGAATTGTGTGGCAGCTCATGTGGAGAAATTGGTCCAAATACAAAAGGAAACAGACCATCAACCTGATGATGAATGGACGCTTGTGAAGGCAAAAGGGAAGAATAAGATTGTAGAATCTAATAGCCAACCTGTGGAACACACATCTCCACCAGACACACTGGGAGACTAAATCCTGGTTAAAGAGCAGAGTGTAGTTGTTACTATGGTTCCCGATAATCCTCTGTAAGTGCTACAAGAGAAAATCCAGTGCCTAATCAGTGACCCTGATGTGAAGATGGATACTGTACAAGAGGAGTCAGAGGAAATAGAGAACGTATTGGAAACAAAGAAGGAATTACTGGCATCTATGGTTGACAAATTGAACTCATCCCGTAAGAAAGCTAGGTAGAAAGGTGATATTTTAAGTAGCCAATCCTCTAGTAAATCCAGCAACCAAAGAAAGAAGATGAGATAAGTACTATAAGTTCATCAGTTAGTGTTTTATTTTTATTTACCATGGCTTCTAAAATAGCTTCCTAGAATATTAGAGGATTCAATGAATCCTCTAAAATAAATGAAGTGACAAATTTTGTGCTGAAAAATGATATCAAAGTCTTGGGTCTTTTGGAAATAAAAATTAAACCCTCTAGGGAGAAGACAGTTTTTGAAAATTTTTTATCAAATTGGGGTTTTTTGTCTAATTCACAAACTTATGTAAAAGCTAGAGTGTGGGTTTACTAGGACCCAACTTTTTGTGAAATCCTATGCATTAAAATGTCTAGTCAGTATTCACTGAGGATAGCAAACTGTTCAAGTGAGGAAGGATGTCATGGGCCACCCCAAAGCGCCCCATGATGTCCCACACAAGAGCCTCAATGCACTTGTCAAGTGCTCATGTAGCGCCCATGAGAGTAGCACTGTGCAACTAGCTTGCCACCAATATACATAGGAAAATTTGGACATTTTTTCACACAACCTAAGATCCCTGAACTTTGTCAATAGATTTCTAGCTAACTCCTCTTCCTATTAATCTTGATTAGTTCCAGCTTAGTTTTGTCAGTGCTCATAATTTGTGGAAAAATATGGGTCTCAAGGAAGTTCAAGCTAATGGGGAGGGCTTTATGTTCTTCTTTGAAAATTCTGACTCTTGTAGCAAAGTGTTAGAAGGAGGGCCGTGGTATATAGGCAATCAACTACTTATACTCAAGAAATGGAAGAGAATGATGAGATTAACTAAGGAACAGGTATCTCAGATTCCTGTATGGGTTAAACTGTTCAATGTCCCAATGGAATATTGGGATGATGAGGGGTTAAGTAGAATTGCTAGTAAGATAGGTGTTCCACTGTTTATGGATCATCTGAGCTCCTCTGGTAATAGGATTTCTTTTGCTAGGGTATGTGTAGAAATTAATGTAAACTTTGAATTGCCACAGCATTTCTTTGTTAGATGTGAGGAGGAAGTAGTTGAAATCAAAGTAGAATATCAGGGGATCCCAACAAAGTTTGTAGCGATCCCGATTTTGACCTAGTCAGCTCGCAAAAAAAAAAATACAAAATGCATTTGAAATTGCTTGAGCTGCACATGTGGAAAACAAGGGAGGGCTTGTTTGGCTACTGCAATAAATGCAGGTGCGAGAGTGCAAGTGTGGGAGAAGCATCGCACGTGCGGTGGTAGGTGAGTCCCAAATTTTGGTCTTTTCTTCTCTTTAGGCTGAGTGTATCTCACTCTTGTTAGGTCTCTCTCTCTCTCCCTCTCTCTCTCTAAAAACCCTTTCCTCTCCCTTCTCTCTACATTTTCCTATGCCAAATTGGATCAAAACCTTGATTTCTCAAGATCCATTAGTGTTCTACCGTAGTTTCTTCATCAAAGTTGGTTAACTTCTCGAGGGCTTCGTTGTGTGCGGTGAAGTTCGGGTTTCGACACTGTTGATTTTGGGGATTTCATCTCATTTCTTCTTCAAAACTTGAGGTAGGGATTTTCTTAGAGTTATATATATATTTTTGCAAGATCTATATGATTTTCAAAATCATCTTTTGATAGCTTTGAAAATTTACTGTTGATTCAAGAAGTTGAGCGATTTTGAAAGTGGGTTTGTCTCTTGTTATTTTAAAATGATCTTATGGGTTTTGATCTTCATTGATTGAAGAAAAGATGATTTTGGAAAGTTTTTCTTCAAAAGATTTGAGTTGTATAGTTTTGGTGAGAAAACTTAGAATTTGGGGATTTTTTTTTAAAGAGACTGAAAATTCATGAATGATATTATTATATTTATTTTGTGCGTCAAAATAAATGGATGTTTGGAAAATTTCTTATTTATATTTATATAAATGATGAATTTTAGGGAATATGAGAATTGCTGTTCATTTTGGAAATTATCGTTCAAAACGTTGAAATAGTCTTGAAATGACTAATTGTTGAGGATACTTAACAAAAGGGAATTGTGTTATTCCTTGGGTGATGAATTAGAATAAAAATATTTGTATTCATCTTGTATTATTGGCATATCAATTCATTTGACTACATTAAATTTTAAAAGTTGATTTGAAAACTTACATTGAGAAAAGAATGTTCAGAAACAAGTTTTCATTGAATGATTTTGGGGTAAATACGTTGGTAAGTCTTGATAGGTGGTATAGATGATATTGAATAAGTTAGCCTGAGAGTTCGGGATGAAAGACCGAATACCCGCGCGGATAGGTGTCAAGCCTTCCGGTTAATACCGGTAAAAATGACAAGTTGATAGTACTTGTATAGTCTACTTGCAGACACCGATCTAAGGATTACCAAAGTCGTATTTACCGCTCTTGAAATGAATTGTTAAGTTTTGAAGAATTGAAATTGCATGACATCATTGAGCATGATGGTTTTCAAAGATGAAGATGTGCTTTTCTTTCAAAAGGGCATAGCATGGCATATTCATTTCATCTCTTGAGACTTGTATAAAATGTATATACTTTGTTAAGGATTTCATACTGGGCTCTATGCTCACCCTGCGGGATTTTTGTGCAGGAAAAGATGTGGTGATGTCGCCTAACTAAAGGCGAGGAAATGTGTGTTGAGAGTACGAGACTTTCATTTTGCTGTGACTGTGTGTAAGCCAAGGGCTGTATGTGTGTGGGTTTGAATAACCATTTTGTGTAATCAGGCTCAAGCCTTGGAAACTTGTAAACCCTTGGGGGTATTTATTTTTTTATTTACTTGTTATTGGATCAATGTATTGTTGCATGAAGAACTATTGTATCATGTAATGTAAGTTTGGAGATTTATATTCGATTTTCCATGAAAGAGCCATGATTGTTATATTATCATTTGGGCTAGAAATTTGGGGCGTTATAGTGCGAACACTGTAAAGTCTTTGGCCATAATAGCAAGAATTGTGTGGCAGCTCATGTGGAGAAATTAGTCCAAATGCAAAAGGAAACAGACCATCAACCTGATGATGAATGGACGCTTGTAAAGGCAAAAGGGAAGCATAAGATTGCAGAATCTAATGAAACTATATGCAGCCAACCTGTGGAACATACATCTCCACCAGACACACTGGGAGACTAAATCCTGGTTAAAGAGCAGAGTGTCGTTGTTACTATGGTTCCCGATAATCCTCTGCAAGTGCTACAAGAGAAAATCCAGTGCCTAATCAGTGACCCTAATGTGAAGATGGATATTGTACAAGAGGAGTCAGAGGAAATAGAGAACGTATTGGAAACAGAGAAGGAATTACTGGCATCTATGGTTGACAAATTGAACTCATCCCGTAAGAAAGCTAGGTAGAAAGGTGATATTTTAAGTGGCCAATCCTCTGGTAAATCCAGCAACCAAAGGAAGAAAATGAGGTAAGTACTATAAGTTCATCAGTTAGTGTTTTATTTTTATTTACCATGACTTCTAAAATAGCTTCCTAGAATATTAAAGGATTCAATGAATCCTCTAAAATAAATGAAGTGACAAATTTTGTGCTGAAAAATGATATCAAAGTCTTGGGTCATTTGGAAATAAAAATTAAACCCTCTAGAGAGAAGACAGTTTTTGAAAAAATTTTATCAAATTGGGGTTTTTTGTCTAATTCACTAACTGATGTAAAAGCTAGAGTGTGGGTTTACTAGGACCCAACTTTTTGTGAAATCCTATGCATTAAAATGTCTAGTCAGTATATCTTTTGCAAAATCGGTGCATGCAAAACAAGTGGATGCAAACATGGAGAATGCTAAACAAAACATGATGTCGTAATCTAACCATCATAAGCATGTAAATAAAAGGGAGAAAGATGTGGGGTTGGAAGACATACACATTATTACAACATTGCGCCCTCACGCAGGAGGATCCAAATAAACTAACTAGCTAACTAATTAACTAGCTATTACAAAATGAAATGAATAAATTAGCTAAGCTACTTAACTAATTATTACAACAACAAATTAATAAACTATTCTAGCTAATTAACTAATTATTACAAGACAAAATTAAATAACTAGTTTAGTTAACTAATTAATTACAACATGAAGTAACCAAATTAACTATTCTAATCACTCCTCCTCGGAAAACGGGGAATGCTTATGCATGCGCGAACTTTTCACTTGAAAAAGCCACTATTTATGCTGCTAAATGCCTCTGTTGCACAGTAGAACACTTGCACTGTTTTTCACCTCAAAACCAACTCTATTTTGCTAGAAAAAGACATTGCTGGATTTTGCAAAGGTGGCCGGCGGGCAAAAAGTGATGGCTTGTCAGCCACTGATGACTGGATTTTCCTTCTGCAACAGAGAGCAAACAGAGCAGAAACAGGGTATTCTCAAGGGTTGTTTGCACAATTCACCCCTCCTTATCATTTGAACAGCTCAAAAGAGTAGTAAACTTGATTCACAAACCATCAATTGATGCAATTTCATTGAATGATGGCCTATGAACCAAATGGTGCAAGTTCAATAAATGCAACAAATAAAGACTCTCAAACCTCCTCCCTATCATGGATTGATCACGGAAAGTGATTGATAATGACTCTTGAACCGTTTTCATCACTAATGAGTATGAAACGACTCAAGTCTCAAGAGTTCAATCAACATCCGATTGAACCCAAACCAAGTTATTATTTTGCATCATTTTAGTCCAAGTTTTTTTATTCCATTTTAATTACCTTTCCATTCTTTAATTCATTAAGTCCAAAGGTGAGCTTTAAGTCCTTTAATGGAGAGAAGTGTCAAACCAAGAGTTGGCTTAAGGCATGAGAGAGATGTCATGCTGTTGATAATGAACCCCTAAAAGGGATTAAACCATTAAGCATGACAACCTCAATCTCAGACTTAAAAGAACAATAGGTTTGAAATAACTCTCAAAGTAAAGCAAAAGCCAAGAAATGAGGGAGGTTGCAGAGGTAATTAAAGATGATCACAAGTAAGGAAAGCATGAAATAAATGCTATCAACTCAAATAAGATGGTAGCTAAGGCCTAAACCACCAACCCTGTGAGGACAATTGCACTATATGCATGCAATGCAAAGCTCAAATGACACTAACACATAAAAACAATCCTAATATACACTAAAACAGTGCTAGAATTGAAGTAAAAATAGCTAAAAGAGTAAGCTAAAATAACGGGAAATTTAAGCTAGTAACCAAGCCAAAGGAGGGGTGGCCAACCCTTCCATTTTTGGGACTTCAAAACATGATTTTTAGCCTCTAAAAAACTCTGAAATTCAGTGGTAAAAAGCCCAAAAAAAGTTGAGAAAAAAATGGGAAACACAAGGGCAAAAGCTTATAGAACAAAGTCCAAAGAATGGTGGTTAACCCCTCCACCCTTGGTAGCTTTAAATCACAAGTTTCAGCCCATAAAAACAGTTGAAAAACAGCAAGAAAATATAGGGAAAAAGTAGTGCAAAGGAGCTAATAGTTATACCACTTAAAGAGGAATAACATTTTTGTTCACAAACCAACAAGTTCTCACTCTCAATGACTAAAATTTGGACTCAATAATCTCAACAAAGAGAGCTCCAATATTGGTTTAGGAAGTGTAGAGAGAGGGTGTATAGGTTGCAAGATAGAGATAGAGAGAGAATTCCAAGTTTTGGAACTTTTGGCAATTTTTGTAACCTTAAATCAAGAAGGAAAACCTGGTATATATAGAAAAACAGCCCCTCAGGTCGAAAATATCATGCCTGGAACAGCTTGAGCTTTTGGGGGACAGCTGGCCAAAAATATCTGTGTTTTTCACCAGTGGCCGGCAGGCCAGAGGTGTGAATTGCCAGTCACAAAAAGTGGCCTACCAGCCACAAAAAATCTGCTTCCAGGCCCGACTTTAAATAAGCATATCTCCTTCATCCGGACTTGGTTTTAGATGATTCTTGAGTCTAAATTGAAGCCCTGAAGTCTACTTTCTAATGGTGGCAGCCTCACATCTAAATTCTAAGTGTACAAAGAGATATGCCTATTTTAGTGAAGGTTGCTCATTTCTATCTTAATCGGATTGATGCCTAACTTCAAACAGCCATATCTCCTTCATCTGGACTCGACTTTAGGAGATTCTTGAGTCTAAATTGAAGCCCCAAAAATCCACTTTCCAATGGTGGTGACTCCACAACTAAAATCTAAGTGTACAAAGAGATAGGCCTAATTTAGTGAAGGCTGCTCAGTTCTCTGTTAACGGATCCATGCTCAACCATTTCCCCAACTAGTTTTCTTCCCTCTTATCATTTAAGCATTTAGCCTCATGACAAGCATGCCAGACATGGCAACAATCACACACATGCGATATGCTAAAGCACAAAAATGCTCACCTAGTACTCCAAGCCAAAAAGATGACAGAGTTAGAACAATGCATGATCCTAACTTATACAATATGACTAATGCAACACATGCAATATGCAATTACTAAGCTCGGCGACTAATATGGCATATGGATCAATTCGATAGCATGCAGTCTAAGCACGTATTCAAAGAATGTTTAACTAACAATGCAAGTTAGAATAATGAACCGAGCCTCAGTGCATGCAAAACAAGTGGATGCAAACATGGAGAATGCTAAACAAAACATGATGCCATAATCTAACCATCATTAGCATGTAAATAAAAGGGAGAAAGACATGGGGTTGGAAGACATACGTGGGGTTGGAAGACATACACATTATTACAACATTGCGCCCTCACGCGAAACTAACTAGCTAACTAATTAACTAGCTATTACAAAATGAAATGAATAAATTAGCTAAGCTACTTAACTAATTATTACAACAACAAATTAATAAACTATTCTAGCTAATTAACTAATTATTACAAGACAAAATTAAATAACTAGTTTAGCTAACTAATTTATTACAACATGAAGTAACCAAATTAACTATTCTAATCACTCCTCCTCAAAAAACGGGAATGCTTATGCATGTGCGAACTTTTCACTTGAAAAAGCCACTGTTTATGCTGCTAAATGCCTCTGTTGCACAGTAGAACACTTGCACTGTTTTTCACCTCAAAACTAACTCTATTTTGCTAGAAAAAGACACTGCTGGATTTTGCAAAGGTGACCGGTGGGCTAAAAGTTATGGCTTGTTAGCCACTGATGACTGGATTTTCCTTCTGCAACAGAGAGCAAACAAAGCAGAAACAGGGTATTCTCAAGGGTTGTTTGCACAATTCACCCCTCCTTATCATTTGAACAGCTCAAAAGAGTAGTAAACTTGATTCACAAACCATCAATTGATGCAATTTCATTGAATGATGGCCTATGAACCAAACGGTGCAAGTTCAATAAATGCAACAAATAAAGACTCTCAAACGTCCTCCCTATCATGGATTGATCACGGGAAGTGGTTGATAATGACTCTTGAACCGTTTTCATCACTAATGAGTATGAAACGACTCAAGTCTCAAGAGTTCAATTAAATGCAGTTAGTATGATGCGCCGAGCCCGGTGCATGCAAAACAGATGAATGAATGCAAACATGCTATCATACTGTATGCTAATTGAAATATGGCCTAATCTAACCATCATAAGCATGTAAATAAAAGGGAGAAAGACGTGGGGTTGGAAGACATACACATTATTACAACATTGCGCCCTCACGCAGGAGGATCCGAATAAACTAACTAGCTAACTAATTAACTAGCTATTACAAAATGAAATGAATAAATTAGCTAAGCTACTTAACTAATTATTACAACAACAAATTAATAAACTATTCTAGCTAATTAACTAATTATTACAAGACAAAATTAAATAACTAGTTTAGCTAACTAATTAATTACAACATGAAGTAACCAAATTAACTATTCTAATCACTCATCCTCGGAAAACGGGAAATGCTCATGCATGCGCAAACTTTTCACTCGAAAAAGTCACTGTTTATGCTGCTAAATGCCTCTGTTGCACAGTAGAACACTTGTACTGTTTTTCACCTCAAAACCAACTCTATTTTGCTAGAAAAAGACACTGCTGGATTTTGCAAAGGTGGCCGGCGGGCTAAAAGTGATGGCTTGTCGACCACTGATGACTGGATTTTCCTTCTGCAACAGAGAGCAAACAGAGCAGAAACAGGGTATTCTCAAGGGTTGTTTGCATAATTCACC